CCATCAGAGAAGCAGGGTGTGTTGGGGCACACAGCGCTGCATGGAGGTGCCTGCATTGCCGCTGCCCTGAGCGGTATCGGAGTAGACTACATAGGTGTCCTCTCAGCCCTCCTCTTGTGTATGAGATTCCTTTGCACAAGCAGGTGCTGATAAGGCCTGTACCAGGCTCTTAATGCCATTTTTGGCTTTTGTGACCTGAATAGTAAGGTAATTCTGGGAAATAGACTAAAGTCATATCATGACATGATAAATGCTGTGATTCAGTGTGTTATCTCAAAGAAGATGCATATACAGGCAGACAAGCTGATAAAAGCAGTAATCTCTGGCAAAAATAATCCTCCAAGAAAGACAAGTGTGGAACTACTCGTCTACCCAAACCACACTAGCTAAGGGAGAACTGAGGCAGCAACAAGGATGGGAGACTTATGTATGTTGGTGCAAGATTTGTATTGCAGAAATATGACCAAGTTAGACGCCTGTGTTACAAAGAGCTTTTCAACACATGGGCTAATGCCGCACCAATGTTTTTTTTATTGTAGTTTTCCCTCTCCCTAAGATCCAAGCAGGAGCCTTATATGCAGACATATGGAAGGATGGTGCTCAGTGCGGTGACATGCCCAGTACAAGTGCCTCTTTCCCTTTTTTTTTTCCACAGGTTATCAAATGTAAGGCAGCAGTTTTGTGGGAACTGAATAAACCATTTTCCATCGAGGAAGTGGAGGTTGCCCCACCAAAAGCACAAGAAGTTCGCATAAAGGTATAAAACAGTAAATTGTTACAAATTGCTCATTTCTTTGCTGTTAATCACATTTTTTTCTACAGACTTTTAGGATCCATTTTGGGAAAACATTTGCTAGAGGCTTGTCAGGGTGTGGAGGATTTTTTGTTTTGTTTTTTTTCTTTCCTAAGACATGAGTGATTCTACAAAATAATAGTAAAAGACAAAACCTGTAGTCTGCTATAGAGTGGGGCAAGAAATTCTCTTTTACCTTGTTGTAGGCTAGGAAATAGTTCAGCATAGCTAAGTATTTCATTTTTTTATCTGTGCTACATTGACGAAAAGGCAAAATGTGATGTGGAATGGTCGTGGGTAGCCAAAATCTTTGGCTATAAATTAGAAATGCTTAATTTTATTTTATTCTGCACAAATGGTTATAATTACGTTGCTAGAACAATTGCTTCTGCTACTGTTGGTGGTACACACTGAGCATCCTCAGGAGACTGTTGCTCTGTAGATCAGACTACTATAGACCCTGGCAGTCACAAATGACACAACCACAGGGGGCTGCTCCTTAGGTTTATTGTTCGTGTAGGTGTAGGTGTTTTCTGAGGGCAGAAAGTGACTGCTGTATATGAGGTAGCTAAATGCTGAAATATTCTTGCCTTTTTCTTTTTAAAACAGATCTTGGCCACGGGGATTTGTCGCTCCGATGACCATGGGATAAGTGGGGCGCTGGTGACGCCTTTACCCGTAATCCTGGGGCATGAGGCAGCTGGTATTGTGGAGAGTGTTGGGGAAGGAGTAACCTCTGTGCAGCCAGGTAGGAACTGGTGCTGTGCGCCATGCTTAGCTCTCAACCCCTGGTTTAAACCAAGACCATGACATGTGTGAGTACCCGTTCTGCAGAGGAAAATGTTCCAGCTTAGAGGCATTACAAAGGTATCTTAAATGACACCATGCACTGTTCACATTTCTTTTACTAGGCTTCCAATCTTAATTTACTTCCAGATTTTCTATCTAATTTTTTTGCTTGTTTTTTAGGCTAAAAAATTCTAACAAGAGCTAAGTGCTAGAGATAAAAAAAAAATGCAATGAATCAAGTCTATATAGAAATGCTGTCTTAGGGAATACTGGCAACAAAGTAGGAAGCCTGTCCAAAGTAGGTTGCTCAGAGACTTTTTCTCAGAGATTTTCTCAGAGATCTCAGCTTTGTTCTAACTTCAAGCAATTACCTGTATTTCAGATTTCAGTGATTGCTTAAAGCACTTCTCTGTTTTCAAAAATTTGATAACTTACTTGATTGTCCATTTCTGGCAACTATGTTTCCAAGTGAGCTGAGACACTATCTCTATCTTCTAATGATTAAGTTTCTAAATTAACTGGGGATGGAGGCACATTCTCATGTTCTTTAAGGTGTTTTCCAGTTTTGAGTGGAAATCAAGAATTTCCTTTGGCTTTGAACATGTTAGAGGTCAGACACATTTTAGTACTGCCAGATCACAAGATAGTCTGAATTAAATGAGGGATTTGCATCACACTGCTATGGTGGAAAAATCACAGCAGGTAACATTGCACTGAGAATTTATATGCGGTTTTGTTAATCATATCATTATGCTAGAAAATTTGAGATCTAATCTTAACTTTTGGGCTGGCAAATTAATGTTTAATTTCCCCTTTTGTTATACACAGGTCATAGCCTTGTTTGCTCAGCACACCAACCCTGTGCTCCAGCGGCTCAGGCTTTATTTCGCTTTCTTTGCCAGCTTTGCCTGGCAGAGGTAGACGCAGCACGCGGCTGCCTGGGTACTTGGTGAATTTCAGCAGCCACCAGCTCTTATCTCCCAGCTCAGACTCTGTCCTGGGAAGGACACCAGCTCCTCTGCATATTGAAACTGGCCATCGTAACCCTGCACTAATGCTCTCTTCTAAGGCACATGCAGACGCTGCATCTTCCAAGTCCAGCACTGCACTCATGGTGCTCATTTTTCTTTGAATTTGATGCACGTGCTTAATGTTTTTACCTGCATCCTTCTTGACTCTTTTTTAATCCCATTGTCACTGCTGTTCTATTTCTAGGAGACAAGGTTATTCCGCTCTTTGCTCCACAGTGTGGGGAGTGCAGCTCTTGCATAAACTCCAAGGGCAATCTGTGCTGTAAAAGCAAGTGAGTCTCCTTGGTTATCTATGACCCTGCTTTGATTTTATTTGCGTAAAAGCTGTCCATGCTTAACAGATCTCATTTGCCATTACTTCTCATGATCTTTTGAACAGTTTTGGTGCACCTTCTGGATTAATGGCTGATGGCACCACAAGGTTTACCTGTAAAGGGAAAGTGATTCACCATTTTTTGGGTACAAGTACCTTCACCGAATACACAGTAGTGCACGAAACGGCCATGGCCAAAATTCCTGCTTGCTGCGGCCCTTTCTGGCACCCTCCAGGCCCTGTGAAGGACTGAGGCCTGGGAACAGGCACTCAGCTTAACAGCTGCAGGCGCAGGCTCCATCTGCTGACTTGATGGTGGGCAGAAGTTTTTGCCTCAGTTTCTTTGTGGCACTTTGAAGTTTGCAATTCAAAGTCCCCCTCAGCCTGTGCTTGCTTGTTACCATCCGTAATGT